AATTACTTTTTTTTTTTTTTTAATAAATTTAGTGTAGCCTAAGCATACATTGTTTATAAAGTCTGTAGTAGTGTACAGTCCTAGGCCTTCATATTCACTCACCACTCATTGACCCATCCAGAGCAACTGCTAGTCCTTCAAGCTCAATTCATAGTTAAGATTCCTGTACAGATATACCATTTTTTTTATGTCATTTATACGATTTTTTTAGTGTACCTTTTCTGTGTTTAGATATATTTAGATACACAAATACCATTGTGTTTGAATTACCTATAGTGTTCAGTACAGTAACATGCTGTATAGGTTTGTAGCCTGGGAGCAGTAGGATATACCATATAGCCTAACTGTACAGTAGGTTATACCATCTAGGTTTGTGTAAGTACACTCTATGATGTTTGCATGACAAAATCACCTAATGCATTTTTCAGAATGTATCCCTATCATTAAATGACACATGATTGTTTATTAATTTGTAATTATAAAAATACTTTATTCAAATGCTGTGCTTTAAATATTTACATTCCTAAAGTATGATAATAGGAATTATTCATCAGGACATAGTCTAGCGATTAAATTTTCCTTTACCTTTTATGAAAGTACATAGTAGAAGTTGGAAGTAGAAGATACTTAAATAGATTATTTTATTCAGTCAGCCAGTACTTACTGAGTGCCACCTAGATGCAAAGGTGATTTTAAGAGGCAGTATATAGGGAAGAACATTTCTAGTTGAAGCTCTTTGCTGAAAAACTTTTCCCACTTTTTCTCTAGAGCCATAGATGTTATTATATAAGTTTGAGTAGGGGAGTCAAGACTTGTCTTTTTAGCTGCAACTGGAAGCTGAATTATTGATGAACATTTTAGATGATGGATTTCAAATCCTTAGTTGTAGATAAAAGAGAAACTATATGAAAGTCTTTGCCCTGTCCAGTAATGCCCCATTATCATCTCACATTTTTTTGGCTTCCAAAGTGAAATATTTTATGCCACTTTTAAAATTTATATTGAGACTTTGAGTTAGGGCCCTCTAGTGGTATTTATAATCCTTGGTTTTCAAGGGGGAGCACTAAAGCATTGTGGTCATAACCCAGGCCACAGACATTATAAACCTACTCTTAGATTTCAGTGATTATTCACGCACCCTGAAGTGTTGTATTTGCTACATAATTATGGACCATTTAAAAATTGAGAATTTATTTTTTAATTGTGAAAAAATTGTTATAGTACATGTCAAGTCTATATGTTCTTAGACAGCTGTTTGTGATCTGCTATTTCATCATTGTAATACATTGAAATGAAGGTAAATAATCCTTTAGGCAAGCACAGTTTTTTTAAAAATCAGGAATTCTAACACATCTCAACTTTTAAATCTAATAGATTGATATGCTGCTGAAAGAATATTTACTGTCTGGAGACATATCTGAAGCTGAACATTGCCTTAAGGAACTGGAAGTACCTCATTTTCACCATGAGCTTGTATATGAAGTAAGATTACTTTGCCATACCAAAGAGAATTATTACAGAATTATTGTGGTACTTTTTGTACCACAGTGACTTAATGCTTCTTTAATAACATATATATGTTTTTCTTGTTAAAAAATATTGAGGGAGATAGTGGTTTTTAAATTTTCATGATTATAAAATCATATAATAATTACAAATTAGAGAAAAGGCATCTGGTACATTTTAGGAGCAGTTTTCTTATATGAATTAATGACCAAAAATTCATTCATTCATTCAATTTTTAGGCTATTGTAATGGTTTTAGAATCAACTGGAGAAAATACATTCAAGATGATTTTGGATTTATTAAAATCCCTTTGGAAGTCTTCTACCATTACTATAGACCAAATGAAAAGAGTAAGTATAACATTAGTTTGAACAACTTGCAGGCTAATATATGATTGAATAAAGAATGACAGTTTCTTTAAGTTTAATATTATGCCTGTAAGTGTTGTTTATTTTTTTAGTGGTAGTGTTTCAGATTTGAACCTCTTGCAACCATTTCTTTGAAAGTAACTTCACTGGGTTTTTTTAACCTATTTTTAAAAATGTAATTGTGTATTCTACCTCAAGGATTCAGTTTCTAATATATAATAATTTGTATTTTGTATCTAAAGAAATGTGAACCTTTAGTAAATTATACTTTAAAGTACTTTTCCTACTTAAAATTGTATGTATTGTTGAAGTGTTAGGTTCTTATTTTCTTTGCCTTGCATTTTTTTAAAAGGTAGTAAATGTATATAGAAAAGAAGATGGGGAAGGAATTTGCTCAACGTCTGATGTCTGCCTGCAGGTCTTTTGAGAGAACAGTTTTAAAGAAAACATTCTCCACAAAGCTACTTTCTGTACTTTTCAAGGTTCAAATCTAACTTCAGTTTAACCATATGAACATTTGGCCTTAAATATAGATTGATGACATAGCGATGGATTGTTTTATGGCATGTATTTTATATGGGCTAACAGTTCTATATATAATTTCATTGTTTTAGGGTTATGAGAGAATTTATAATGAAATTCCGGACATTAATCTGGATGTCCCACATTCATATTCTGTGCTCGAGAGATTTGTAGAAGAATGTTTTCAGGCTGGAATAATTTCCAGACAACTCAGAGATCTTTGTCCTTCAAGGTACCTTATTTTTAAATATTACTTTCTCAATATATAAAATACTGGATGAGTTGCTGGTGAAGGCTAAAATGGTTTTCTATTGTTCTAGCTCTATCAGGAAAATAAAGTATCATTGTCACTGAAGAGTAGGAATTATCTGTTTTGCCCCTTTGTAAATCTATGCAAGACTACTTCATGAAGTCCCAGTTCATTTGAAGGAAACTAATTTTGTGGAGCAGTTGTCTACCGGGCTTTGTTATAAGTAGTTTAAATGTTATTTTAGAGTAGATATTATCACTAATAAGATGAGCAAATTGAGACTTAGGGGGGTGTAATATACCTTTTCTAAGGTCACATGACTAGTACCTGGTGAGGCCAAGTATGAATCCAGACCTTTTTTGGCTTCAAAGATCTAGCCTCTTTCCTCTACTCTGTAGCTTCCTTTGCTTCTTCACAGGAGGGGGAATTGGGGCTAATTGGATCATATCTCACTAGAAAGTGTGTTGGTGGGTGGGTGGGTGTTTCTTTGGAGGTTTTGTATTTGCGCTACTAGGATGTAACTCTTAAAGAGTTATTAAGTTTGTTGTTGTTAAAATAAATCTAATGATGAAGCTTGTAATGTGTGTAAATGTTTGTTAATAGCTAAACTTACTGTATGGGTCAGTTTTATATACGTATTTTGTAATTTTTTACGTGAAAAGATTTCTAAGCTTTGAGTATTAAGTGCATTGTGAGAATTAAATCTCAGGGAAGTATTTCTTGGTAGGATCCTTTGCTATATAAAGTTTAGAAGCCATTAAGAGAGAAGGAAAAAAAAATGAGAGATTCAGTTCATGGCTTTACTAGAAATGTTTGGAAATGTAGACCTCAGTTTGGTGATGGCACCGTTCGTGTACCGATGTGCCAAGTGGTATACAACAGTAAAAAATGAACTTTGGCAAGGCTTCTTACTATTGACTGCTTCATTCTGTATCTTGGCTAAAAGTAAATAGTCTGAAGCCTTTATGTTCAAGAAAATGTAGCTGGTTTTCACCTAGCCTTAGTAAGAAAAGGGGTCAGCACCCTGGCATTGGCTTATTAAAAGTTTTTCAGCCTGTTTGAAAGTCTAGTTATTTCTGTTGTGGCTTTACTCTTAAGGGTCATTTGAGGAGATACCTAAACTTTCTGTGTATACCATACAGCTTTGACTTTTGTCCTCTACCTTGGTGTTTATTTGGGTGAAGTGCACATTGCATGGTCTCGCATGCATGTTGGTGTGGGGTCAGAGAGTAAGGGCTAATCCTGCCCAAGCTCCATTTCCCACTTACTGCTTTAGGGTACTGGCCAGCTGTTCCACTTGGGCTATTGCCACTACACGTAGCTAGAGTGTGGTTACATTATAGAGCAGGGCTTCTTGAGTTTGAAATAATAGGAATCCCAAAATAGGGCATAGGCTGGAATTAATTGGATTCTGATTTGTTTTTTTACATTCAAGTTGTGGCTTTTCTATAGCTAATAATTTTTAAAAAGTAGTTAAACATGAATATTTTGATAGGTTCCATAGCTCCAGTTTGCATGATTCTAAATTATGTTAGTGCTTCCTATTTGTCTCACTGTTTAACTTTCAAATAATAATGTGGTAGAAATAAATATTAAATTTCTCCCATCCAAGTACTAACCAGGCCCGACCCTGCTTAGCTTCCAAGATCAGATGAGATTGGGCACATTGAGGGTGTTATGGCATAGGCAAATTTCTAAAGATGTTTGCCTTAGTTTTATATTTTAAATTTTTTTACACGACTCCATTTGGATAATGAACTTACTTCAACAGTTAAGCTTTTGTTTAAACAAAACCTCAGATTTGCTGTTGATTTGATGTTTTATGCTAAGATGTATAGCAGGAAAAGTCTTTTTCAAAGGAATCAGAGGCATTCTTTAAAAAAAAAAAAAAAAAAAGCCAAAAAACCAAAAACCCTTCAAAACTTAATGTGTAACCAGAAAACACAAAGGTTTTTTTCAGTGACTATAGTCAGAATTTGTATCTGTTTCATACTTTTTTTTTCTTTTTATTACAGGGGCAGAAAGCGTTTTGTAAGCGAAGGAGATGGAGGTCGTCTTAAACCAGAGAGCTACTGAATATAAGAACTCTTGCAGTCTTAGGTGTTATAAAAATATATATCTGAATTGTAAGAGTTGTTAGCACAGGTTTTTGTTTTTTTTTTTTAAGCACTCGTTTTGGGTACAAGGCATTTCTGAAATTTTATAAACTTACATTTAAGGGGAATTTTTAAAGGAAATGTTTTCTTTTATTTGAGGGGGAAAGGAGGGACAGAAAAGTAACCTCTTCTTAAGTGGAATATTCTAATAAGCTACCTTTTGTAAGTGCCATGTTTATGACCTAATCATTCCAAGTTTTGCATTGATGTCTGACTGCCTCTCCTTTCTTTCAAGGACAGTGTTTTTTGTAGTAAAATCACTGGTTTATACAAAGCTTTATTTAGGGGGTAAAGTTAAGCTGCTAAAACCCCATGTTGGCTGCTGCTGTTGAAATACTGTGCTTTGGGAGTAAAAAAAAAAAAAGTTATTTCTTTGTCTTAAAGAATTTTAAAAAAATGAGTTAGTCATGAGACTTATTCATCTTTCCAGGGAACATACTGATTGGTCTTAAAGACTAGACAGTTAAGTAAATGGTGGCTGGAACATCTATTTTTCTACAAAACTGGAAAAATGAACCTGGTTTGAGAAGAATGTACAACAAAATAAAACATGTGAAGCAGTGTTGATTCTTTATTGGGAGTACATTTATTTTAGGTCCTCTATAAAACATTTATTTTAGGTCTTCTATAAAACTTGAATTTCAAACAGCAAATTTTAAATCATATAAGGACACATATTTGAACTTAGTGAATTCAAGCTGTGTTCCTCAAACTTTTTTTCCTTGGAAACTTTTACATTGAAAGTACAACAGTAAGTTAGTTACTTTAAGATTACACTGGGGAAAAATGCATGCACACTTTACTCCCTTGTTTATTGATCTGATCTAGAGCTTAATGAAATTTCTAAAATATATATAATATCTTTCATCATTCTTAAAATTCTGTTACCAAATAATGGTTAGTGTTATAAAAAGTTATTCTCCAAAGACCCAAAGCTTTGCATTTATCCAATGTCTGAGAAACTATAATAAATAACAATTATCTAAGGAATGATCACATTTCTAACCTCTTTTACAGAACCTAATTACTCAGCAAAGCCTCAGGGTCTACGCTAACTTACATTGCCTATTACTGACTACAACAAACTAACCAAGAATTATATTCTGAATTAACAAAGGTATTCTTAGGAATATACCTATTATAAGTTTAGGTACAGTCTTTTAGAATTAAAACTCCAAGTTTAATGTTCATATTAATATTTACTGATTGATGGGGTCTTTCAAGCCCATATTACTTAGGCTTATATAGATAATTATGGTAACCATTTTTTAGGTATTTAGTTTGATACCTCGATGATAAAGGTAGTCATGCAATTTATCAGTCCTTAAAATGAGTGTAATTAAAAGCTTAGCTGAATACAGAATAAGTGAAGATTTCTTAAAAATCAAATTTAAGAAACAGTTTTGTCATTACTAGTAGGATCAGTTGGGTTAGGCAAGAAAGCATTAGACATGACATGGCACACAAAATTGGATAAAAAATTTTGTTTTGAATTGGGTAATGTAAAAGTCCAACATAAACACTTTATGCAAGATTGGAATGTATCTTCATATTCAGATTTTTAATAAACATGTAAAGATTCTCT